TACACAATCAAAGTTAACGAAAAGTGTGATGTTTATAGTTTTGGGGTCCTGACAATGGAAATAATCAAAGGAAAGCATCCTGGAGACTTGACTGCTAATCTGATGTCTTCAAATCTTGAAGATGTAGAACTGAAAGACTTGCTTGACCAAAGACTTCTATATCCCAATCAAGAAACTGAAAAGATCCTAATATCCATTTTCAAACTAGCAAGAGAATGTCTACATGCTGATCCTCAATGTAGGCCAACAATGCTCTTTATTTCCACGCTGATATCAACTCGCGAACCATCTAAGTAACTTCTTTGTGATTAACCGTGGCCATATGAGTCTCTTTTCCATTTCTTTTCTTGTTAAATTAATAGATGCATCAGATATGTAGAACTTGGGTGATGTTTTCAAGTTTTTGTAGGTTTCTTGCCTCCCATTAAATGCAGACTGCAGGGCCTCACTTTTTCTCCCCTACATAGCACAATCAGGCATCAGAAGAAGATGATATGATGCAGAGCATGTATTCTATGTAAAAATAAAATGTGCATAGCTAATAGAGTTTATGGAATTGAAACTAGAACTAGTATAGGGGGCAAAGCAAGGATTTGGAAATGTATCGTAATATTATCATCCTTGAAAGTAATAATTCCATGACATTGTCTTCAGTCTTAATGGACTTTTTTTTCCAAGTAAACTCCTTTAGTTTGTCTATTGTTTTTTGAGTGCAGTTATTGACGAAAAGACTGTATTTCCATATGAGGTTAGAATGAGTGCGGTTTTTGGTAGTATGATAAATTAAATACGCCAATACTACAACCAGATCAATATCACGCGAAGAAGCCGAATTTATCCATTCAACCAATCCACAAGATGAGAAGCGAGATCAGAGTCCTCCAGCTACATGATTTTGCCAGATGCCTCTAGCCCAACTGCAAACGCCCAGTGCTCTTCAATCCTTGTCAACAATTAGTTTAAAAATGGGAGATAAATCAAATTCAAACCTTTGGTTTTAGTACATTCCAAATCAAATTCAAACCTTTGGTTTTAGTACATTCCTTCAGGACCATGGTTTTACAATGACATCATAAATATGTCATAAATAATTAATATGTTATTTTTAGTATCATATAGGCTACTAATTAAAATGAATCTTGTGAATCCATATGCAGTTCATCAGTGTGTTAGAATTAGAATACTTTGGTTCATCATCGATGAACCTAGCTTAAAATTTGAAACAACATGAAATATAGATTGAATAAATCTATTTTGACAATGACAACAAATCCAAAAGCAATGAAGACAATTACATTGTACCAAACATGAGGCAAAAAGAAAAAGAAAAAACAAATAAAAGAACCAACTTTAGTTTAACACTATAAACAAAAAATATAATAATCGTTCAAAACATCCCTCATATATTGTAAAATGATTTTTTTTCATCTCTCACTTTTAAAATATAATTTTATGTTCCTTACATATTCACATTGATCAAATTTGATTCCTAACTAAATTTCCGACTAGTTTATGTTCCTAGTTTTTTGCATGTGATTATTTTTTAGGGCTAAAATTATCATATCAAAATTTACATAATCCGATCTATAGTCCCTTATATTTCACAAAATGAAATATTTCGTCCCTTACATTTCACAAAATAAATTGTTTCATCCTTCATTGACCATGTGTATGAATAGTTTTTTTTTTTTTAAATCCATGTATATATCTATTTGATTTTACCTGAACAGTACGACTAGCATGTAATATATTGTCACGCCCCGAGCCCGCACGTGCTCATCATATGACATCCGCCGTACTCCCAAGTCCCACTCAGGAATACAAGGCTACATTAACTAATTTAACTTGACAATACTAAATAATTTAAACAATTAAAGTGCGGTTCGAATTACATATAAAAGGAAGTCCACGAATGTTCAAGGCGTTCGTACATTTATTCTCCAATTAAAACAGCGGAAACAAAAAGAAATAGCATAACATGAGAAGTAGCTAGGCTGCCAACTTCTATGCACCTAAACTAGTAAAAGTCATCCTCAGGGTCTTCTATGTAAACCAATTCATACTCTTCCGAATCTGCAAAAATGGTAAGAAGTGGGTTGAGCGACACATCGCTCAGTAGGTAATATTTACCCCTCTGTTGGACCATGCCCTCTTAACTTTATAAATACATAATATATATAAGTACAACTCAAATCGTTTGCATATCATTCACATCCATAATTTTGAAAGTAACGTCATTTATAAAACAATCAATAATAAAGAATGACAAGGAATATAAAAGCACTTCATTGATAACCATACTTGGAAAATCATAACATCATAAATCACTTTGCAACAATTTATATGCATCTTCATATCTAATCATGTATCATCCATAAAACATCACATATCCATTCATAGATCATTTCAAAATAGTTCATAAATCATTTCATATCGTTCATAAATCTTCTTTCAGTTCAGCTCATAACAAGTACATATAATGACCGACTACTGAGTACTCAGCCTAGAGATTTTACCCCTTCTAGGTGGGCGACCAATAAGTTTCATGACTACCGATTGGTCTCATTTCAATCTTGGGTCAATCGGCTGGGTTTTATACCAGGCTACCATGACTTTATCCATTGGTCAATCGGCTGGACTCTATACCAGGCTACCATGACCTCACCAATCAGCTGGGCTTTATACCAGGCTACCATGGTGATTAGACAGAACTATAGTTCCTACCGTCTATTCCATGACTGCTCTGAGCTTTACTTGTCAAAATTCATTTCATATATTGTATACATAAATCTTTGCTTTCATAAAAGATTCATCTCATTTTGTATATAAGAAACATATCAAACATTTCAAATAATTCACATGGTCCATTTTGTATAGTGAAGTATAGCTTTCATAAATATCCAAGTAAAACATTTAATCAAACACCTTTCAAGTCAATACAACAAAATGTGACTGAAAATAAGAATTTCATTTTTGCACATTTGAAATCTCAGAAGGGTAAGTACCACCTACCTCGGTTTGGCTGCTCGAGTGGAACTACCTTCGGTCCTTATATTGCACCTATTAAATGCATAGGTTCCCTAATTAGTTGCTACTTCCTATAAATGCATAAATATACAACCTCTAAATAAGCATAAGATTCATACCTAGACCATTAAATGGACCCTAATAGCATCTCCCTCAAATTGGGTGATTTCCATTTTTAGAAAAGTTTCTATTTTTAGAAAGTTACTTAATTTGGAAAGTTTGCCTTTTGTAAAGCTTTATACTTAAAGGAAAATAATTATTCCTAATCACGTTTATTATCCTGACTATTATCTTAACATACATATTTATAATGTATAATTATTCATTATTATTATCGTCCTCGTCGTCGCTACTTTATTTTATTACCATATATATATGTATTTGTCAATTAGTTACTATTGTCTTTCGCTTTATTTCTACCTTTGTGCGTGTATAGGTGTTATTATTATTTATGTATACACGTACATATATATATATATATATATCTATATTGGCCTATTACAATTAGTATTGACTTAGTTTATTTCACTCGTATTTATATTTTTATCTTCGTTTACATCCTTAATTTATTTCTTCCATGTCCATATTGTTATTACCCTTACTAATATTGCTTGTTAATTATTATTTTATTATTATTAGCATTACTATTATTATGATTTTAAGCATTTCGTTTAGCAATTTAGAATTTATCTTACCTTATCTACTTGACTTAATACGGCTAGATTAAGATATTTTAGATTTTCATTTAAGTATATTGGACGTAATTAATCAAGTATAAGTTTAATAACTGAACTTTACTTTGAAAGCTATCTTTAAGTTGGGTTTTGAAATTTAGTTCCTATGCTAGTCCAAAAAGATAGGCTAGTTTTATCTAATATTCAACTATTGGGCAACAATTAAACCTATACCATATATATATACCTATATATATATCTATATTTTCCAATTCTTAAAAAAACAAAAAAAAATTTCTCTTTTTTTTTTTCCTCCTTTTGGGTTAGACCCATCGGCCAACCATCTTTGACCATTTCTTTCATTGGTTGACCGATGGTCAATCCTTTCATTGATGTCATTTGTGACTCCAGGACTTTATGCAGACTTTCTGCCGTCTCTTGTTGCTGGCCTATTGTCGCCAGCACATGCTGGCATATTTTTATTATTATTATTTTTTGTTTTCTGGTCTTGGGTTGGCCAAAAGGCCAACCTTTGTAATCCTTTTTCCCTGCCGCTAGTGATGGCGGCCTGCACGCCCCCTTCCTTTCCTTTTTTGTGTGCGGCGTTGCTACTGCAACGTCTAGCCAAGACAGAGCAGCGGCAGCCGCCGCCGCTCTTCCCTTTTCCTTCTTCTTCTTCTTTTATTTTATTTTATATATTTTTTTAAACAGATTCAATCACCCTATAATCTCAAGATTGAAATCAACCCACTATTTCTATTAACCCAGATACGAATTTTATTAAACATATCTATCTACACCTACATAGCAATAATACATGTCCATAAAATTTCTAGAACAATTAATACATCTACTAAAACTCAAAAGAGAGGTTTTCTTGCGTGAACTCGAGACTTACAGGTTTAGGTGTCTAGTCGTCAGATCGATTGACGATGATGCTTGCTTCTCCTTCTCTACTCTCTGACGGCTCTTACTCTAAGGAGGCAGACGAAAGGAAGGTAAGGTTAGGGTTATTTTTCTGTCTAGGGTTTTAATAAAATCCTAAACCTAGCACTATTTATATTAGAACCCCTTATCCCATCCTACAGTTATTTTATTTTTTTATTTTTCCTTTTTACATAGTAACTTTATCTTTTTAATTAATTGAGAAAATAAAATAATTAGGATAAAATAATAAAATTGGTGCCAAAAGTCGTGGGTTTCACATTCTACCCCCCTTACAAGAAGTTTCGTCCCCGAAACTTGCATACCTTGATCAAAAAGATATGGGTGCCTATTCCGCACGTCTTCTTCTAACTCCTACGTTGCCTCTCGTGGTGTATGGTTCGTCCATTGTACCTTGACGTAGGGTATGATCCTTCTCCTCAGGACTTGATCCTTTCGATCTACGATTCTTAAAGGAACTTCCTCCACTGATAGGTTCTCCTTCACCTCGATAGGTTGGTCCTCCAAAATATGACTTGGGTCTGATACATACTTCCTCAGTTGGGAAACATGGAACACATTATGTATTCTTGACAAAGCAGGTGGGAGAGCCAGTCGATATGCCAGAGGTCCAATTTTATCCAGTATTTCGTAAGGCCCTACATACCTCGAATTTAACTTGCGACTTCTTTCAAATCTCATCACTCCCTTGGTAGGGGATACCTTCAAATATACACATTTTCTCTTGGTTGAAACTCTAAAGGTCTCCTTTTGGAATCTGCCCAACTCTTATTTCGGTCCTGAGCTACTTTCAACCTTTCTCGAATGATCTTAATTTTCTCCAAAGTTCGTTCCTCCAAATCAGGACCAGTGATCAGCTTCTTACCTATTTCATCCCAATATAAGGGAAATCCACACTTTCGTCCATACAATGCCTCGAATGGTGCCATGCCGGTCTCGCTATGATAGCTATTGTTATATGAGAATTCCATTAGTTTTACTAACCTATCCCAATTATCCGAGAAGTCTAGAGCACAAGTTCTTAGCATATCTTCCAATGTCTGTACGATCCTTTCCGACTATCTATCCTTTTGGGGGTGTAAGGCGGTACTTAATCTCAGGTCAGTCCCCATAATATCTTGGTAGGTCGATCAAAAAAATCTAGACATGAATTTAGGGTCCTAATTCGACACTACTTTCACAATTCATTTTTAGACTAGATATCACATTCTCTCCCCCTTTTAAAGGTTTCGTTCTTGAAACCTACAAGACATAAACATTAAAATAAATTAACAATATTTCCAATGTTCTTGCAGTACATCTTGGAAATTATTCTTACAATGTCTAAATTGGATTTCCTTAGGGTCAAGTAAAAATCAAAATAAAGAGTAGAGTATACCACCCTTGAATTGGTGACCTAATGAAATGAAATTTTTCTTATTTACCCTCCAAAACAAAGAAAAAGGTCAAGACATCACTTTAATTAATAAATAATCACAAGAAAATGAAAATAGACATGAGATTAAATCAATCAAAGCATTTAAATAAAAGTAAACAATCCATAGTCAACAAATTAAAACAAACAATGACTCAATTGAAAGAATTAAAAAAGTTTGAGGGGTCAAATCATTATTATTATAAATATTAAGATTCTAAATTAAAATAAAATAAAATTAAAGGCTTAAGATGAAGTATACTAAAACCAAATGCTAAACTTCATAAAATGAATGAAAACCCATTAGCCAAAATTTCACTAAAAATCCAAATCAAAACTATAAATCTATCAAAAATTATTACACCTTCAAATTTATCCCCAAAATTCACTAAAAATCTATCCAAAAATCACATTAAGACATACCAAAGAAAAATAACATTTTGAAGGGGCAAAATTGATTAAATTTTCCAATTTTCTGGGCCATAGTCGAAAAGGGAAAAATTGAGGGGTTAGCATGCAATTTGTCTGAAATTTTCATGCAACTGATTCGAAGAATTCATCTTTTTCTTCACTGGTTTCTTGAGTTCCCATAGCAGGTCATCCAGGGTCGTCATATCATAAAGGGAAAGGAACCAAAACATTTATTTTAAGAGTACTAAAACCCATGTCAAAATCATTCTCACCCTCATAAAGGAAACCAAACCTCAGATCGATTAACAGATTTTGGAACCAAAATGATAAGGGAAGAAAGAAAAAAGCAACAAAGAAGAAACAGAGATTCGTAGCCATAAGAAACATGGTTCTAGTTAAATTATTTACACCCATTGTTCTCCCCTTTTTGTACCAAAATCCAACAACACAGAAAAGACACCAGTTTCATGGCTCAGAACTCCCACCCAGATTCGTGAATAGAAAATACAAGGAGGAAGAAAAACAGAAGAACGCGACAACAAGCAAAGCAACAACGATTTTAATGCCTTTGATGTAAACCCCATAATCTAGAAAAGATAGAAAGACTACCTTTAGCCTTTGTCGCTTATAAGGTTGAACAATCACGAGAACTCCTAGGCGAGACGTACAAACGCAAATGGATGAAGAGAATTTTGCCACAGAGATGCCCAGCGCTGGAAAAATCGCAAGTTGGAGCTCCAATCTAGCCACGTTGTAGGTGTTGTCAAGGAGTAATCACTGAACAAAAGTTGCTGCCTGACATCCAGAAAAGGTGCAGAAGAAGGAATCTTGCTTTAAGGGTTGGAAGTTGGGTCGGAATTTGACCGGAAAATGGGCTGCCTCGCCAACCTGATCCCTGAAAATTTTCCTTTTTCCCTCGGTTTTCTCTTTTTTCCTTTGTTTCCTTTCTTGCTCCGCTGCCCTCCTACTCTTCCTCAAACTCTCCCCAGATCCTCTTTCTTCCTTTTGTTTTTTTCCTCTTTCTTTCGCTCTTTCTTTCTTTTCGTTTCTTCCTTTCCCTCAACCCGTAGCCTCCCTCAATCTCTTTTTTTTTCCTTGTTTTTTTCTGTTCAGCCCGTCCCCTTCCTTTTTTTTCTTTTCCTTGCTTCCTTTCCTTCTTTTTTCTTCTTTTTCTCTTTCTCTTCTTCCTCTCTTCCTCCTATTCTTTCTCCCGTTCCTCTCTTCCTCCCCTATCCCAGAAAACCCTTTTTTCTGTTTCTTTTCCTTGCCTTTCTTTTGTTTCTTATTTCTTCCCTGCCAACCCGAAGCCTCTCCTTGGCTTTTTTGTTTGTTTCTCCTACTCTCCACGGTCTCTTCCTCCTCCTTACTCTTCTTTGTTTTCTCTTTTTTCCCCGCCTGAAACCCTTCCGTTCCTTTCTTTCTCTTTTCTTTGCTGCTTTTTTTTCTCTTGCCCGTAACTCTCCCTTTCTTTGCTTTCTTTCTGTTTTTTTCTTTTTCCTTCCCAGATTTTCCCAAACTCCTGGTTTTTTCCCCCGAAGCTTTCCTTCTAGTTTTCCTCCTTTCTTCCCCCTATTGCCCGAGCTTCCTTCTTCCCTTTCCCATGTTTTTTTTTGTTTTTCCCAATTCCTCTCCCTCTTTTCCTTCTTTGTTTTCCCAGCCGAAACCTTCCCTTGTTTCTGAAAACCCTCTCTCGATTTTTTCTTCCCTTTTTCCCGTAGCTACTCCTTTTTTGTTCCTTAGCCCCGTAGCTTCCTTTTCCTTTCTTTTTTGCTCTTTCTTTTAGCCTGTTGTTCTTTTCTTTTTCTTGCTTGGTTTCTCTTCCCCCTTCCCGTAGCTTCCTTTGTTTTCTCTTTTCCCTTTTGTTTTTTTTGTTTCAAATTTTTCCTAAACTTTCAAGTATCCTATCCACCTATCCTTTAAATAATGTGGTGTCAAAGAAATAAAGAAATACTTGTCCATTGTCTCCCCCCATCTAGCTAATTTGCATGGCCTCCACTTGACCCTATTGCATGTGTGCCACATATTTTATATTTTATATTTTTCTTTTCAAAACTAATTTTTGACAAATAAAATGCTAATCTCTAATTACCTTACAAAATGTCATTTTATTTAGAAAAAAACTGAATTTGAACAAGATAAAAATGAATTTTTACTGAGAATTTTCTTCTTCTTCTTCTTCTTCTTTTAGAAATTTCATAACAATAATAATAATAATGTTTTAAAAAGAATAATGAACCTAATTTGCTACTACCAAATAACCAACTAAAATATAGTAAAATAACATAAGAATAAGAATAAGAATAAACAAATAAATAAAAAAATAAAGCTAAAATTTAACTAAACCAAATTGAAAATTTGGTGTCTACAGTTTGCCCCTCTTTGTCTGAGTTTCGAAGAGATTCGAGACAAAAACGTAGACACCAAATACTTACCTGTAATTATTCTGTTGTGAGCTGAAATAAGCAAACATAAAAAAGTCAGTGGGATAAAAATCCTAACCTGCCATAACCTCGGTCAGTGGGATAAAAACTCGAGCCTGCCGAGGTTGGTGGAATAAAATTCAAACCTAACAAGATAAAAGTGATTAGTGGGATAAACCCAAACCTGCCGCAAAATTGATCAGTGAGATAATATCCAATCCTGCCATAATATCGATCAGTGGAATAATACCCGAGCCTGCCGTCAAATTAATCAGTGGAATAAAATCCGATCTTGCCATACCATCGGTCAGTGGGATAATACCCAATCCTGCCGTCAAATTGGTTAGTGGGATAATACCCAAGCCTGCTATCAAATTAGTCAGTGAAATAAAATCTAATCCTGCCATACCATCGGTCAGTGGGATAATACCCAATCCTGCCATCAAATTGATCAGTGGGATAATATCTGATCCTGCTATACCATCGGTCAGTAGGATAATACTTGATCCTACCGTCAAATTGGTCAGTGGGATAATGCCCGATCATGCCATCAAATTGGTCAGTGGGATAAAATTCGATCTTGCCATAACATCGATCAGTAGGATAATACCCGATCATGCCGTAAAATTGAACATCGGTAGAAATTATATTGCCAAGAATGGGGGGAGAAGGGTGCGCGATAGACGCTGAGACTTCACCAACAAGAAATCAAATTTGATCTGTTAAGAAGGGGGTAGAAGGGTGTGCGGCGGACGTGGCAGACGCTGAGACTTCACTAACAAGAAATTAGATTTGATCTGTCAAGAAGGAGGTAGAATGGTGCGCGGCGGACGCTGAGACTCCACCAACAAGAAATTAAATTTGACTTTTTTATTTGGTGAATCTTTTCAAAAAATTTTGTCCCAATTTCAACCGATTATTATGCAACCGATCATTCGCCTTGCATTATGGCATTATTGCTCCTCTTTAAGATTTTGATTCACATCTCTTTCTCAGTCTGAACCATGAATATTCAATTCTTGGGTGACATTCCAAAAATTTTGCTCTAATTTTGTTATTTGAAACACGGTTGGACCTGCAAGAGAAAGAACAAATAATGCCACCACTATTCGACCCGTCTAGCTTTCAAAGAAACGTGCAAATATGAGTATTTTGATATTTTCCCTTCGATGCTGTAAAACTCAACTTTTTTCTATGAACTATATCAAGTTTTGTTGATTTCCAACACTAATAAAGTATGACATTTGATATCCAGGGACTTTTAACAAATCATAGGGATTGCCATTTGATAAATTCAACGGGATAAATGAGACTATGAAATAAAAATATTTTATTTACACAAAAATGATGAAAATTCAAATAACATGAAAGCAACAATTTACCTTTATTGATAGAAAATTAATTTTAGATAAATGAACATGTATATTCAAAAGTTTATGTTTGATGAATCAAAACACTTTGATTCTTGAACAAAATATCACGTTTGACCCTTTAGATATCATTCCTCCGGAGTTCAATGTTTGGCAACAGAACCACAATATAAAGAGAAATTTCAATGAACTGAGTGTCCAGCCATTCAATTCCATGCTCACTTTTCTTCATAAAATCCTACCTTAGCGCCCTTTCGGGTTTTCACTAAGGCTACCCCCATCTTTTATTTTTTTTCTTTTCATTTTCCTTTTTT